TATATAAACAATCTCAACAGAAATCAGAAAAGCATTTAAAACTGCACCTACTTCTGTATATAAGGCTGAACTGTATGCTATTTTACAAGCCCTCCTGTGGCTGGAAGATTCCGAGGTTACGAAGGCTCTGATAGTCAGCGATTCTTTAAGCTCATTACTTTCAATTAAGAACGGTTCCTTTACATCTAACCCAATGTTACTGAGTGAAGTATTTATATACCTTATCCGATTAAGTCGCCGTATGGTCATCAAATTTCTTTGTGTCCCTAGCCATATAGGAATCCAGGGAAATGAGATAGTTGATAATCTTGCCAAAAATGCGTTAGCCTATCCAGGGGTCACAAACGTTTCTTTTGAGCTTGGTGACCTCTATGGCCAGGTTTATCAATATATTTAGATTCCTGGCAGAGTAGATGGAATTCTGTGCAAGTTACTAATATCTACAGGAAAATTGTTCCTGTTGTTTCTTCACACATCAAATATGAATGTACAAACAGACACCAAGAAGTAATTATCACACGCCTCCGTTTTAATTGCACAGGTCTAAATGGACATCTGTACAAAATACAATTACACCCAAATAGAGAATGCACCCAATGTTCAAATTTTGAAGACCCCGAACATGTTTTAATGGAATGTACATATTATCAGAGATCGAGCAGCCATAAAACAACGGATGGGTAACATAAACGTCCCTTTTACCTACCACTCTCTATTAACTACGAATTGTCTCTATCCTGCAATATATAACTTCGTTACTAGAAATAACATAAAAATTTAATGTCCTTTCTATTTATTAATAGGGCTACTCCCTTTATCCTTGTTTCCAATGGCTGGAGTCGCCCCCAGTCGAAAAGAACTGACTGTGTAAACTTTTCCTATTGTTTTATCCCAGTAACGTGACATTTTAGGAATTTTAGTGTCAAACAATTAACTACAAAAAAATAATAATAATAAAAACAAAAAATAAATAAATAAATAAATAAAGTATATGTAACTACTAACTTCTTGTTAAATGGCAGTATATATTTCAACTAAATCAGGTCAGGGAATTTGGGGGCATATCATCTGCTGATGGCGCCCCCATAACTCGCAAACAAAAAAAAATGATCTGTTTAGAACCAATGAAGATCCAGCTAATAGTATGGAAGGAGTAGAAGTTATACTTATAATATTGGTTGGGCTTGGTATAGTAATATTTTAAAATATTGGTATTTATGTTCCTACATCATATTGGGGGCTGGAATGCTAACGTCAAGGGCAGTTTTACTGTCTCCCCAATTGATGTAATGTATTCTATTTTTTCTTGCTGCTTTTTTTTTATTTTTAGTTATTATAAAATTATGTTTTCTTGTGAGCAACCACCTCTATCTGCAGAGAGAAAAAGTTTGTAAATATGTGAGCTAGAATACCAACGTTAGTTAAACTTTTTTTTCTCCTTCTTCTTATTCATGTGAGGCCGGTAAATTTGAGGTTAAAATGGACAGATTGTGTACCCTCTAACGCCAGTACTTCCGCCAGTACCTTTAAAATCAGGGCACATGACATAACTTACCCACCTTATGATCTGTACCCCGGTGTTGGGTGTTTGTATTGTGGCTGCGATTTTTTTTTCATGAATTTTCATTTAATTATATTTCATCTAAGATTTGGAAATGCTGCGTAAATTCTCGCTATCTTTCGTCATGATGTATTTTCTTCTATTCATTTTTAGCTTATATATAAGTAAATAGAACAAGTCTAATATTACAAATTGTATAGAGGTGATAGAATTAGCACTGTAATATTTGAAGCTAAAAAATCATTCTATTTATTAATAAAGTACAAAGTTTTTTTCAGTGTGAAAGTAACCATTTTTGATAAATGGTTTGATAAAATATAATTTTCACATCCTTGGTTTACTTACCACAAATGGTACAGTTTCGCGTATCTTATTACAAAGGAATAGTTATTTGTAGTTGAAAAGATACTTAATTGTTTGCAATATAATTAATTTACGGATAATGTTTAACGATTAGCAGATAAGTTAATGGCTCTAAAGTTTGGGAAATGATAATGGGTCTGAAGATTGGGAATGATTAGTTTTAACATTATTTTATAATAAGTATCAATCTTTTTTTAAAATACGAATCTTTTATAAATGAAATGGTTATTTTTATTTTTGCAATCGTCAAAAGTACGTTTGTATTTTAAAGACATCTATATCATATATACTAGCCTTACTATTTTGAACGTGACTTGTTCAGTTAAATAGGCCAGAAGCGCTAATTTCGGGTAGCTGTGCTTGCCTCACTTTACTTTTGAATGAGGATGTCAAGGAAGGAGGATGGGTGTTCAAATATCAATGGAGTAGTTGGGTAAGGATTTATAAACTTGTAATTCTTTCTAATTGGTAATAATTGTCTAAAGAATGGAGGCGGGATGTCCAAGAAGGGTAGAAATTCGTTTTTTTTTTCAAATAAATTGATTTTTTTTATTGTGGCGTTATTTTAAAAAAATTCCTTTTTTTGTGGGGGGGACTACCATATATCCAACTGGCTGCAGACTGCGCTTAGTAATGGGTGTTGGGACGTTGTAGGGTAAACACCCAAATTGATTTTCCATTAGAGTTATCTTGTTATTTTTGAGTTTCTTTGGATTGTGTGGTTAACGGAACGTCCCCAAAGTACTTGGGGCCTTTAACAGCAGACAATTTCCTTAAGAAATTTACTTTTTGTACTTTATAGAGAAAAAAGATTAACATTCTATATGTAGTTAGTTATTCATCAATTTTTTATAAGTTTATATAGTTGTATATTTTGCAATTCAAAATCGAATCCGTTACTAATAACAAATTTCATCTCTGTTTTTGGTTTATTTAAAACCGTCCATTGTTATATGGTGCTGATTTAATCGCTTATATATATATAGTATTAAACCTATTTTATTTACTTGATTTCATAGAAGGTAGAGTGGATTTAACTATTTCTGATTAAGGATCAGTATTTAATTTTCCTACCACGGTTTATCTACCACAAATAGTCTAATTCTGCATATCTTATTAAAAGAAAGTCATTTGTTAATTTAAAAGATGTTTAACTGTTTGTAACAAGAATTTATTCATTTATAAACAATGTTCAGGGGTTTACAGATAAATTAAAAATTAGTGGCTATAAATGTTGGGAAATTATTAATTTTTACATTATTTTATAATAAATATTAGCTTTTAAAATGTAAATATTTTATAAATGAATGGTTAAGTTTGTTTTCTTTTGCGATCCTCGAGAGGACGCTAGTGTTTTAAAGCCATCTACATTACAAATATTAGCCTTAAGTCTTATTTTACTACTGGAAACGTGACTTGTTCAGGTAACTGGGGCAGTAGGGCCAACTTCAGATAATTAGGCTTGCCTCAGCTTCTAATTGAATGAGGTTGAGGATGGCTGTCCAATTATTATTGAACTATTTAGATAAGAACTTTTGGTTTTTGTTACTTGGTAATAATTGTCTCAAGGGTAGAGATTAAGGGTGGTTTTAACAAGATATTGACTTCTGTCTTTGTTAGACACGCAATGTTAATTCTTAGGGGTGACTACAATACATAAAACTTGCTGCAGATTGTCAATGGTAGCAGGTGTTGGGGGTTGTTGCACCCAACACCTAACCACTAGTTGAGTTTCCGTAACAGCTATCTCGTTGCTCACTTGCGTTTGTAATTATTGTTTAGCAGATGGAATATCCCTAAAGCTTTTGTGCTATTACCGAAGACCTCTTCCTATAAGAAAAAAAAATAGTTTGTTTACAGATAGTATGATCTTTGATTTTGTTTTATTCATGAAATTTTGAAAATTTTACGAAGTGGAAGTTTGTTATGAGTAACGGCTGTAGTTTTGATTTTTATATTGGCATTAATAGCTTATGCACAGTATGATGGCTTCTATTGTAAATAGTGATAATTGCTTTAGTTAACAGAACACTATATTTAACTTTAAAACAGCGAGGTGATATATACTATTTGTGATTATGTTGGTAAAGACAATAAGACTGACATTTTGGAATATAGGGTTCTCATTCTACCATTCTCGATAGCTTCATTGCAGTGTCACACCTCTTTCTGTGCGGGCCGGGAATATCTCTCACTCTGATAATTTTTTGTTGAATAAACATATCTCTCATTATTGTACAGAATATGTTTGCTTGTTGAAAAGTTGGTCATCAATAATCTTACTTTCAAACATACCCTGTAAATATTTATTTATTCAGAGAAACATCTGAAATTTGCTGCTGTAATTAATGTTTCCTTTCTAAATAGGGCTGAAGTTGGTATAAACAGTAAATTAAACGTGAATTTTTCTTTAGTTACTTTTTATGAATATTTGTTCAGTTAAGATTCTTGGCATCAATTTTTAAACTTCCGTTAACTGAACAAACTAAACAATTTACGGATGTGACTACTGTTAAAATATTTTGCCTCGAAATTTGTTAATTCGGTTAAACTTTATTAATAGATCGCACTTCAATCCTTGGCTCTACTCAAGATACATTTAAAAAACTGCTTTTTAAGTATGTTAAGTAGCTTTGTAAAAAAACATTTGTTTTATCACCTATAATTTCAAATAAACGTTTCTTTAAAAATATATTATTCTTGTAAGGTATTTTGTGTACCAAATAAAATCCTTAAGCAATGAATTATAGTAATATTTATATTCTGACTATTAATGACATAATCTGAACGAACATACGCAGTTTTTTAAATTGCATCAGTCTTTCCTTTTCGACATTTTAAGTGTTTTGCGACAATGTTTTCAATTGGTGCATTACTAAAACTATCATACAAGATTACATACTCTTTGTCTTGTTACCTTTGCATTGAATTCTGCTACAATTTCAAAATGTCTCTTCAAATCGGTGGCTAAGATATTTTCTATGACAAGAAACCGGAACCTTTTAAACTCGGCCTTGTCCAAGTGACACAGCCAATTATACTCTGGTCGCGACAGGAACAAATTCCAAGCGGCAGCAGCGTGATGGTTCTCCAGTACAGAGCGGTCATTGTAGAGCACGGCCTTGTAGAAAATAGTATACAAACCATTTCTTAAAATACAAGTTCTTAAGAGAAATTACGTTAGTCAACTACATCTAATTATGCTTATTGATCTAGTTTAATAATACTGTTTTACATCTAAAACTCCGAAAGTGTACATGAAATTAGTGCTCGAGTTATCTTGCTAAAATACAATATAGAAAATTTTATTACGAAGGACGTTTTTGTAGTTCAGCGAGGTATTCCAGAGTGCTAAGAGGTGTTAATGTAGACATGAAGGCTAAGAATACTGTGGTGTGAAATTAAATAGTCCTAATTGTAAGGTAGTTGGAGTTTGTATATAATAAGAAATTCGGGGTTTGTGGGCTTAATTGCTGTAATCCTCAATATGAGATTGAAAATAGGTTTCCTAATACCTACTCTGTTCGATGATATGAATCTAAGTTTATTGCAATTATGTTCAGTGATATTGTACACAAATGTATTTTAAATCTTTTAGGAAAAGTTGGCTTCAGTGTTAAGGCTTATTTTGTTATAGCATATCAAGCGCTTTGTTACTGCCCTGCTTTCTTTATTGATAAGCACAAAACTAAGTGGGATATCTGTGCTATGCTAACCACGGGTATCGTAACCAGATTTTTAGTGTGATGAGCGCTCACTTTTTTATATTGATTATAACTTGATACAGCAGGACGTCACATTACGTTTAGTGATACGGATTGGAATGACCATTATTAATTACTTTATAGAAAATATTTTTCTCCATTTGGTCGAATACTCATCAGGACTCTAGCTGGCTGTTATTGTTAAAGGACTTTTTATTTCAATAAACTTTTCTGTTAGAGAAACCTAATTTCAAGAATTAGACTATCTTTTCGCTATATATTTTTCCTTTGTGATCCGATGCATAAATTGTGTTTCAGGTTGTAATGATACAATACATAAAATATCTCTGTTCTTGGGATACTCTAATCGAATAGTGGGATTCGATCGTTCCTTTTGTAACATATCCACAGCCTCAAAGTTCGGAGAGCAATTTCAATTTTGTGGAAACGGGACGCGAAGAATGAACTCTCAGATCCACAGTATGACAAAGGTTTTCAAAAAAAAAACAACAACAAACAAACGTGTAATTAAATTGCATAAGCAGGTGTTTTTAATTTCCTACCTGGGGCGCGTATGTTGATACTAAGAAGGCGTTTGTTCTGCCTGGATGATCGTAGTCGTGCATTGCAGCCGCAGTGTAAAGCGCCATCAATTCCAATGCAGGAAAATTTGCTCCCATGATGCCATAGGTATCATCAGCAATAAAACACTGTCGGTAGACTGGCATTCCATTCTCACTGGTAATCTCTAAACAAATAAAGTTCATAAGATAAAATAAAATGGCTGTATGAAAAGTATACAAACACTTTTATGATGTACTATAAACTGCAATATCTGTTAAGCCTTTTCACTGAAAGTGTTGTTAAGAGCTGAAGATCTCCGTATTCTTAACTGCTCTACGGTTATTATTGGGGGCTATAGTATTCTATTGTGCTAAAGTTTGAATTTTTTTCAAGGGAATTTACATACCTAAAGTCTTGTGTAAGGGAGAATCCGTTGACTCTGAAGGCATTTGTATGAAACCAGGAACCGGTTGTGAGGTAAGGTAGTAGACACCGTGTAATACGTCCGCTGCGTGCATGGAATTATGGTCTACAAAAAATCAAAAGAATAGCTTATATTCTATTGTAAGGAATGAGCAGCAAAGCACTTTGGTACAAGTTCAATGCTCAGCTCCACCTGGTTCTATATACAACCATTATATGTTCAGTATCAGCATTAAAGTACTCGGATACTGGTTTGGTGTTTGAGATCATGCCTGTTATACACCTACGTTTAAATAACTAAGTGGTCAGTAGGAGCTGAAAATAAAGCACATGGAAACTACCTCACGTTTTTCTACCACGAATTTTATACAGCTACATCCATTATTTATTTCGGTTGAGCTCCACGTATGTAATAAATAATAGTGACGGTTTTGTACAAGCATAAAAGAAGGTTAAGAGACTAAAATACTCTTTTCACGTTTTTTAACGTAATACCAAGTAGTTTCACGTTTTTTAACGTAATGCCAAGTAGTTTCACGTTTTTTAACGTAATGCCAAGTAGTTTCATATCATTCGAATTAAAAGTCGCATCATCTTGTACATTATTTTAGTATCATACCATGTTTAACGGTCAGTTTCAATTTAGATGTTTATTCACTGGTTAGCTCTGTTTAGACTTTTCACGTAAACTTTGGACAATTTTCTTTCCGACCCCCCCAAATCTTTAATGTAGCATATTTTCTCCTGAGCCCCCTAAAATCAAAACCATATTTATCGTATCACAAAGTCTCGAGCTCTTTTCGAGAATTTAGACATTTCTTCGGTATATTTTGAGTTGTAATATGAAGTTATCCGCATATCTGATTTCATAGATATTATTATCAATAATAAGGTTTCCTTATCAAAGTAATAATAAGTGTATAATAATGTCAACCACTCTATTTGCTATATCCATTGCCGACGAGGCCTTTCGCCCACTATAGGACTTTACAGGATACGACATAGTGGTTGAGACTATACTAGAAAATTGCTTCACAACAATTGTTAGTGTGAACTGAATTCGGTTGAAGTTGTAACTTATGAACTTTATGTAGCAATACATCAGAACGAAAGTAGGACTTTAACTATGTTTAAATACAATTATTTTCTTGAATTAACGTGTTCATTATTCAGAACTGGCGAGCCAACCAGCTTGTCTTATTAAAAATTATATTATCGATATTCTATGTATCAGACCATTTGTCACGTGAGTTTTGTGTCGGTTCAAGTAACGTACTACATTACAGTCAAAAAGCTCGCTGTAAAGGTTAAGATAACTCAGAATAACGGCTTTAATGTAGAGGAATATGTATATCTCGTGCAAGTGTGTGTGAGAGAGAGAGAGAGATGCTCTCTTCTTGCTACAAAAACAAGGTAAAAGAAGATTTCACTTTCGAATATTGAACCCCATCAATTTTACGCCATACTAGCTCGTATCCAATTAGACACGTCCAAGATTGCGGGTAATATCATTAAGCTTTATCATTAATACCATAGTAAGGGATTGTTAACGTGAATTACTTCATTATTAATGATTCAAATTTGTAGGCGTATCTTTTTTTTTACTTGGAAAAATTTTCTACTGGCCATCGTAGATCATCATTTGCTGAGATTGGAGGACAAATGGGGCATGTTACTTCAACCTTATTGTAACTTGTCTTCAGTCGATAGCTAAGTTCTCCAGTTCTTGGAAGTCTACCTTTCGAAACAAACTTTCTGTTATGGAGATTCAAACTTGGAAAAACATTTCGGGCATAGAACGCATTGCACTGTAAAATACACTGAGAGACTGGTACGGTTTTATTGGAAAGTCTAAAACGTACTTCTTTCATAATGTAGACGGATCCGAATATTTTAAACAAAATTCTTCAGTATAGAAATAGGTTCGACTCTGGGGTAGACACAGCAAAAAATAGTTCATTGTGTAGACTTGCGCTAAAATAAACGTATAAAATGTTGAACTATTTATTTAAATCAACTTGTATAATTACTGGAAAAAAGCTGTTAATTTTTCAGTACACAATTTTGGCGATTGACTCTAAAGGATAAAGGTCCAGAAGATTGGAATATCTACCCACTCTTTGAATTTTTTTACTTGTAGAGTTTATGTTCAACTTGTCATAAAAACGTTGGAACTCCCCAATATTAAACAGAAAATTATTTTAATATTCTCCATAAATTGTCGCATTTCACACACCATGACTAATTCATCGAACGCGTCGTGGAATCTGGATTTTCACACCAAAAGGTGTAACCCATCGTAAACCATCTATCCACAAAGCCAACTCGTGTGGTTGTATCCAAGTGCAAACATTTTCAACACAATTTCGGAATATACTAGTAATTGCATTATTTCGTTAATAGGCAAAATATAGCCCAAGAACTGATACATCAATCACTATTTTCATAAGTGGCTGTTGCTTGTACATAATGTAACTATGTCTTTGAAGTGTAGTCTACGCTACTGATACCACTGTACACATAGACGTCGAGATAGATATCCAAACAGCGTGCGTGCATACATCGTATTTTGATTTTGGCATCTATCCTAAAATTTTAAACTACCTAACTACATAGAAGTAAATGCGGACACAAATTCCAACTACTGCAACCGTGGCTAAATCGATGGCACTTCGGCGCTTCATGTTGATATACATCTGTAATTGTTATTATTATTTGAACAAAACTTTTAACTGTTAATATACTTACTACGTGATATTCTTTAGTGTTAAATGTAATTTTACTGGGAAGCTACTTAAGTGTGTATGTGTTATAATTTTTCAACTCGTGGGAAATTGAGCTCTGCGTTTGGTATTGAAAGTTCAAATTCGGAAGTTCAAGGCATTCTGACAAGCTGTTAAGTAGCAGAACATCCGCGATTAAAACGTATTAAAATATAACTTGATAGTAAAAGCAGAGAATAATGTTACTTGGTAAACCAATGATTATCATGTTTAAAATTGTTTTCTGTAAGCCTAGCCTTGGCTACAGATAAACATCAGTGTATACGGAGGCATGGAGAACTGAAAAAGGTAATCATCTTTTAGAACGATGTTTAACTCTCGTTCTCACGCAATCAAGTCTTTTGTTGATAGTCCATCTACTTTATCGTCCTCGGATGATCGATATTGAATACTGTTGGTTGATCCTGAAAAGATCTACTTGGAGAATGACGTAGCATTTATCAAACATTAAAATGATTTGTGATATTGTGAAAAAATAAACATAAAAAAAATCTCTGAATCTATCGGGTTTTGCCAAAACGCATTTTATTTATCGAATCGCTACGAGTTTATAATAATTTCGGTAACTCGGAATATTCTGCCTGTTCTAAGTAAGATAGTAGGCATTTCGTGGTTTTGGAGATAGTTATTGCTTTTTTCTAATTAGGAATTGAGTATTGCTAAAAATGGGAGGGGGAGGGAGGAGAAAGCACATCATTTTTGTAACCATGTAAAGAAAAACTTTATCCAAAGGTTCGAAACGGTATCGGGGCATTCTCCGTATTATAGGTGTTAAATACAGAAACGAAACGTACATTCTCAGACCACATAATAGTTCGCAATCCTATGCAACTTTCTTTACTCCAAAACAACTTACGTTTGTTGTTAAACTACACAATAGGCTGTCTGTGCTTTGAAGGCTTATAACGCTAAAATTCGACTCCTACTATGTGCAAACTTATTGCTGTGCCAGCGAAAGGGTGGGGTGCGAGGCTTGGACTTGTGAATATTTATTGTTCGTACATTTAATTATTACAACATCCTCAGTATAGAATACGCTATTTTTATCAACAATTAAAAAAAAAGTTCAATAATGTAAACACAATAATGTAAGTAATTAAAACACATTTGTATTAGTTCAGTTAAGTTTTTTATATGGTAAACATTTCAAATTATTGTTGGAAAATGGAGGAATAAAAGTATTAGCCACACTAACGTTTTGAAATGATATGGTTTCTGGAAAACTAGAAACATCTGGGGGTTACAAGCGTAAGTATATAGCAGGATGTATAAAATAATGATAGCTGTAGGTATAGACAGACTTACACGGCTTCTCCCTGTAGCCAGTCTCCAAGGCGTGAAAATAATTAAGAAACTCTCGTTCTGGGATTCGAAAGGCTTCGAACAAACCAACTTCTAGGAAGACTTTATAACACATCTGTAAGAAACAAAAACAGTAATATGGGAAATAGATTAGCTAAAGTCACCTCGGTGCTTTTTTTGATATAGAAGAATGTTACACTTAATATTCGGTATATGCAAGATTTTAGATATTTTCCTCGAAATGACAGGAACTTGCGTCTTGTAGTAAATAAGGATCTCACAATGCCTAGCCTCGTTGCTTTGCATCATTAAGCTCCAACCAATCTCGCATGACTAGTTTCAAGACTAACCGACTCCTGCGTGCACACTTACAAATTGAAAGTAAAGAAAAACAAATTTTAATATTTTGTCTTGTAACTTAATATTTGGAACTTTCATAACGGTAATAAATATATATTACTGTTTTTGCGATATTTACTAGTCGTCCTTTATTTTGAACTGGCATACTAGAGGGAAGACGCTAGTCAACACCACCAACCATCAACTCGTGGGATACCATAGTCGAATAGGAGCATGTAACCGTTATGCTTATAACGCACCCCAGGCCTGAAAGTGCAGAGTGAGTATTTTTTTGTCTTTTTTTTTTCGGTATCGGGGCGCGAACCACCGAACCTAAGACGCACAATGACAGACTAATCACTTGGCCGCGCTCGGCCACAATATATAGAAAAGCATAAACAATAGCTGCCATTTTAAAATTGGGTATTTAGGCATATCGGCGTACCTTAAGTATACTCAGGGCTGACGAGAGGGCTGGCAAGGGGTCAGCTGCCCCAGGGACCGGGGTTTGTTGAGGGCCCCGACAGTGGGATGTTCCAAAGCTTACTAAAAATGCATATTACTTAATGAGATAAAATGGCTACTGCTTTTTCATGGTTTCATGAAGAAATTTGTCACCAAAATTTCTTTTACGAAAAATCATCAAAAGTTAATAAATAGAATAAAAGTGGGGGGGGGGGGCTGATGATATTACTGACCCCGGGGCCTGAGCTGGCTTTCGACGCCCCTGAGTATACTTCACGAACAAAAACGAAAGAGATCTTATTCCTACATGCCAGTTTATACGCAGCTACAGGGGAAACTTAAACTTCTAAAGAATATTGAGTACTTAAGAGTGAAATTTTGAAAATCTTAATCGAAATTATTGTACTGTGTAAATCAAACTTTTTTTTTATTGATTACTTATTCTATGCTATATTCTGATGATGTCGTTAAAGAGTCTCTGCTGTTGTTGACTAAAGAAGTTTGACTTGAATGAGTGAAATGAGACTGTTTTAATTAACCTAGAACTATCCAAGATAACTTTATTCTATTCTATGTCAAATTTACTTTGAAAGATTTAAGTTCTGTCCAGGTGGAGATTCGAATCCTGGATTTCGGCGTTTTAAGTCCTCAAACTTACTTCTGGCCCACCAAGGAAGTTAAGGATGGATAACATACCTGACTGAGTATACAATTTCCTGCTTTTTGTTGAAGTTCGAAGATAGGATAATCCCACTCATTTATTCGATTTAGGAGCTGGTCAGACTGCAGGAAATCGAGATCGTACCTTACACTATCGACCAGGATTCCTGGTATTGTCTCGTCTAGAAGAATTGGAGACTGAAAAAAAACAACAACTTTAAATGTGAAGAAAGTTTTAATTCAGTAAAGAAGTTCAAAGGTAGGAAAATTTTAAAACTTTACGTAAAATTTGAGTACAAGTTAATGGGATGGTTGAATATTAATTAAAACATGTTAATTAATTCATATCTTACCATCTACTGAGATAAAGATGTGACAAAGGCACTTCAAAATGTATGTGCGAAAAACACCAGAGAAGGAGGAACTTTAATGCCAGAGCAGGATAGTATATCTTGTGATAATACTTAAGAACATAAAAAACCTCTTCCTTAAACACACACACAAAAAAACTAACTGAATTTTATTTTCAGGACGTATGTATCGTGGTTTAGTGTGCAAGTCTTAAATTCTACGCGTTATACCTAAGCCCATTAAGGCTGTTTTAAAATTCATGCACAAAGCCACACAAGGGCTGTTTGCACCTAATTTTGAAATGAAAGTACAGAGAAGGCAGCCAGTCAACATTACCCACCGCCAACTCTTGGGCTTCGTGGCCTGACCGAATAGTGGGATTTGACCCTCACTGCTATAGTCTACCCTCTGCCTCAAAGTGTGTAGTGCGTTTTTGCGGCATACCCAACAAGTCTCTTTTTTTTTTCCATTAATCTATGACATAAAAGAATGAATTTGAATTGTGTTTATTCTGGTAATACGATATAAACAACATTCCATCGGAAGTACATTATATTGCTTTTTTAAAATAGTTAATGATTACTATTCGAAAGTCGAAACTAATGTGTTTTGGTTTCAACGAAACTTATCTTGGTTCATCTAGTAAATCTTGCACCTATACGCCCCAATCTTTTTTTATTTTTGGGCAAATATGAAAACGTCCTATCTCGGTGAAGATTAAGAGGTTATCGAATACCGAGTGTAACACCAATAAGAACTTGATTCTTGACGTGTACATCCAGCGAATTTAGAAAAAGGGTTTTAAAACAAAAAAGACCAGTGATTTACTCTCGCTTAAGAGTTTTTGCCATTCGTAACGACATTTCTACTTGCTTCGGAAACTTGTATCATTTTCCACAACAACGATTAGCCCATTTTTCTCTATCTTCTGCTTCCATCTAGTTTTTCTGGATACCTGGCCAGGTCGGTATTCACGGGAACGAGCTCGCTGACACCGCAGCTAAGTCCGTCTGCTCTGGTGCCATCACGGCCATGCCTGTCCCTACATGGATTACGGTCCTGTTTTGAAGGCGCGGCTTCGTGCCAGTTGGCAGTCGACTTGGGGTGAGCAACGTCATAACAAGCTTTTCCAGATCAAACCTTCTGTTGATCTTTGGCCGTCTTGTGTCCGTAAGGATCGGAAGAAGGAAGTAGTCCTGGCAAGGCTACGCATTTGTCACAGTTTTGTAACCCATCGTTTTCTTTTATCTATTATTGATCCACCGATGTGTAGCCATTGTGGCACTGAAGTCACAATAGCCCTCATTTTACTGTTGTGCCGTCTTTACGACCGTGAGCAGGAGCACCATTTTAGATACGTGTTTTCTATGAGTTTACTCCTGACGTTAGATAGCGTCATTGGCGATGGTGACACTGTCCGACTTGATTGTATTTTAATTTTTTTACGCACTATTGGTCTTTTTAATTATATATAAATATTTTATACAAATTTTGGACATTTCGGTTTTAACTCGCTGTATTTTTACATTTTACTCTAATTTACTTTTACAGTTTTTACCGGTTGTTTGGTGCAGATAGCCTTGTTGCTTTGCGCCATAAAACACCAAACAACCAATCGTTTTCCACTCGATTTTGCTTGTTAGTAGATGAAGAGGTGGTAGCTCGAGTAAATTAGTTTGGAGTATGACTAATCAGTGGAACAACTAGTTTAAATACCAAATACAACAATAGTGATTTTTTTAAGCCAGATAAGAGTTAGCTTTATATCTATTGGCTTAATTACTTTTGTCGAATTTTAAAATCTCGCGGTGAATGAGAATAAACCACAAAAGCACAATTATTAGTTGAACAACAAACTCTTAAAATAACGATTAAGACATGCACGAAAATGATATATTTTGATGGCTGCTCTATGATCTGAGTTTCATAAGGTAAAGTCATGGAGTGTTCTACACGAGAAGAAAGTATATGCAATTTGTATTTATGGCAAAGCTACTAATATTACTGCAGTCTCTGATTTCGAACTACAGACCAGAAAAAAGCAACCACCATCCAGCCTAAAGGGATTGACAGTCACCCCCCATAACGCATCCAGAGCTTAGTGTGAAGTATTTTATGGTATCGCACGGATTCGAACCTGACTCGCTAGCTCCAAAATCCAGAATTCTGCCAAATATTTTACATAATTAAACGGCCGCGTAATAGCCTCTTTGTAGAGTTTTAAGTGTATTAAACTCGGAAAATACGTTGCTAATTTTGGCTCGATATTTTTGTTTGTGACATTCCATTATCTAATAGTACCAGATTTAAATTTATCAGAATACTTGTTAGCTTAAATATTGTCTATATTCTATTTGAAATTGTTTCTATATATCGACAGAGGGTTGTTGGAACATTCGAAGTTAAAAGAAACTTAGTTTGAAGTTACTATTTTCTGTTATATGTTGTTGCAAGTAGAGTCAGAGGATTAAATGTATCGGACTGAAGACTACACTTCACCAAGGTATACTGCATACGAAAGTGTTTCAGAATCTTGACTATCATAGTTCAGTCCAGCTGACAAGTCCTGATAGTAACTGAAGGGCCTGGTTAATGACTAGAAGAAAGCTATATGTTATTCACAAACACAAGTAAATTGGTTTGTTTCTATGGGATTTCGCGCAAAGCTATTCAAAGGTTATCTACGCTAGCCGTATATATGTGTATATGTATATATGCACGCACAACAAAACTTTCAATTCACGTTTATACCACGTTTATAACATCTATTGGATACAATGAAATATGAGTAGGTTTGCCCCATTTATTTTGTTAAACGCAATACACCATAGTTCTCATGCGTTGATGACTACATCAATTTGACACAACTGGTTACCTGAATATTATCAAGAAATGCCAACTTGTCACGAGATAAGTTGATATAAACTGGCTGACCACTTTATTAGCAACTATGTACCCTTTCAGACTCTGCCATGACCTAAGCTGCAGATGTAAATTACGCTGTCAGGTAATCCTTTCAGTACTATAAATAACTGAAACAGCCACTCTAAATATTAAGGTAGAAATGTTTCAGTGTTCAAAAGAGGTAAGATATTGGGTGAACATCTAGTACGTGTCACACTAGCCCTGATAGTTTTACTGGTAGGCTGCTCCAAGACATCGATTACTGGAGTTTGTCAACGATGGGAAAAGTTGAATAGAATATCTACCATCCTGTAACCGCTTCTTTCCTATTATGTGTTTGCGACCATATTTTCCCTAACGGTAAACTCCAATCGTCATCAAACGATATACTAACTGACAGACATTCGGTGCTAAAACTCCTTGAATGGTGTGAAAAGCTCAAGTATTGGTCATATAAAAACTAATGGAAGATGATGCGATCTAATAATCACGCTTTACCATATGTTGCACAGGTGTGGGAAGATAGATTTGGAGAAAGTCATAAGAATAATTAAACCCTCTTGTGTAACCCCAGCCGTCCAGACTTCTGGTAGTGGAGTCATGGCTTAAGGTATATGTTCCTGGCGTACTCTGCGCCATTTGATCCTTTCAGAAAGCAGAATTAATGCCACAGCTTGTATTGGCATAATTTCCTATCGAGTGAATCCAGCGATACTTCTGTGTACCCCTGTGTGGACGGCTACTTCTGAGTCGTTAATGATTCCTTCATCTGTGCTTAAGTTGTGCGTGCATGATTCTAAGAACATAAAGGAGACCTCAGACATCTCCTATGGCCACCAGAATCCTCGGATCTAACTGAGCAGGTGTGAAATGACCTTGAAAAACGCATTCGTCATCATAATCCTTTGCTTACCTCGCTCCGTGAACTGTGTAAAATATTATCGAATGAATGAGGGTAGGGGACCCTTAACGACACCTTTGAGTACCTTGTGGAATATATGCTACGTCGCATCATGGCTGTAATTTTAGCAAAAGGTAGATCCAACCCATTATTAGGCATAGTTCCTGATAAAATGGCAAGCCAGTGTATAACTCAACTCTATAAGCACACAACCCTGGCTAAATAATCTAAAAAAAAAGTCTTAGTCGTATAGTATGTTGAGATTGTGCAAGATGTGGTTTTCTACTAAAATTTCCATTAACAATTACTTGGGGCTTTTTTTCTTTTTCTTAAATCAAGAAATGAACAGTAATATACAATCAATATTAATTGATTTTTTTTCTCATTCCTGGCTTAAGTATTGTGTTGTTAAGCACTATAATTCTTCCGACACTATGCGAGAAGATTCTCTCAGATCATGGGATATATTAAATTTCATTTAATTTTGCTTAGCTGTACGTTTTGTAGCTCTTCAGATATAACAACTGAGAACATCGAAAATTTGTAATGTAAGCACGTTTTCGTGTAGTATATTTTTACAATATCTTTTTTTCACATGCATTTCAACTGTTAAACAGCCTTTGTTGTCATGGTAACGACATGCCTCCATATCTTAATGTATTATTTCCCCGAGTTTCAAGAAGAAAAGAGCATTGACTAACTGGTGTATCAGTGATCGCAACAGCAAGGTATAGTTATATATATATATATTTCAACGGTAAAAGCAAGATAATCGCACTGAAACAAATGTTGAAAGGACGACATAGGTTAAACTATAACCCGTGGCATTTGCAGAATAAGAATGAATAGCGTAAACAACCTAAAGTCAGACACAAATAATTAAATAAAAGGAATTTTCTGTACCAGATGTTTGTCTCAAACAACTTCGATGAAACTTGATTAAAACTGTCAGAACCTACACCAGTAGTTTTCGTCATTTCTCGTTCTGGTTGAAACTTGTAGCCTGATCCTGAGTTAATTTATAACTAAATCGCAAACAACTTTCTAAATTGTTTCTGTACATTTGGAGAAGAAAAAAAAAGGTGCTGATAAGGTTATGTGTAGAGACGAACGTTTTTAATGTAGGCCAAACGGCAGTTAATGAGTTGCATACAAAATAAACCTATTTCGAAAATTTCATTCGTAATATATTTAAAATAATTAATATTGATATCAAATAGTTCATTCAGCTAAGAAAAAATACTACAGTAAATGTTTTTTCACATGTTTTTCCTATTAACAGAATGGCTTTCAGAAATTCTACTAGTTGAACTACAGAATGGCATACCTAAGTTTCTTCATAAAGGGTATTCTTTATCAGATAATATCAATAAAGCATGCAAAATATTTATCACAACAACAACAAAAACGGCATCAAAAACAGACAGGTGTGGGTGGCTTAGTGATTAGTGTGCAGGACTATAGAACCCGGGGTGCGTAATACAAGTACACAGAGGGACATAATTCATGAACCCTCAGATCCAGAGTGAGGGTCAGAGCACTAGTCGGTGACAAAAGAGTAACCAAAAATTAGGCTGTGGGTACTGTTGACCACCTGTATTACCGATATCAGTGAAAAAAAAATACTGTTTGTTTTGAATGCTCGCGCAAAGCTACACAAAGATTGCCTCCGCAAACAGAATAAACTTATTACACCCAGCACGTTTAGTTCAATGTCTCACCCTTTTCGGTACCAGGCAAGTTGTTGTTTTTCAATGTTAAGACAAGTTTTATTATTGAAATCTTGACATCTCTGTCACGTGAGATCTAAGCCTCCTCCCATATTTGAGTCATCTTATAAACTAATCGTATATCATTTCAGATATATTTTTTTAATGTAGCTAAAAGCTCTAGGACAATGGAAAGAAATACAATACATAATTTCAAGAAGTTAAACTAATACTCTGCCTACTACGACTGGGGTACAATTTATTGTAGGTCTTCCTCTAAATGATCCTGGTGCTCGAATTAAACACGATTTTACAAAGTATTGTAAGAATGACGGATAAGTCCCCCTAACAAAAATTGCCCGAGATTAGGCGATAGACCCCTCGACGTGGATTCCTGTACGTGGTGAGGGGGACCTCCCAGAGAAGGTTCTGTATTTTCAGTTACTTCCTCTGGGATTTAAACATCCACCCCCACGTATTTGCCGTGCGTGGCGACCCGTGATAGCGGAGGAGAGGATCCTGGT